CATAAACAAAGGTTTACATTTCATTCACATACTTAACTCAGTAAGTATGAACAGAGAGAACATGGCCCTTTGCTTACAATCACACAACTGAATTTCTAACGATGGTGGACAGAATTACTGCAGGACACACAGTAAGAAGGATGACCGAAAATAGAAGGACTAGCTAGCAAGACAATACTGAATGAATGAGAACACACATCAGAAGTTTGCAACATTGTAATACACATTGTATCTGGACTGAACTAGACAATCATATGCACCAAAGAAAACTGTTTCAAATAGGATGAGAAGCTGAAGAGTGGAAAGATCCCGTGATGATTACTGTGAAAGGAAACTGGAAAGCAGGTCTGCTGAGGACGTGGAGGTTAATGCCTAGGTTCTAGGGCTCAGTGAAGGCCGGCATGTCCAGAAGGTCTGGGCAGGACACAGGGGCAGGCAAATTTCCAAGAGGTCTGGGCAAGACAGGGTTGGAGGTGGGGGTGGGAAGTTCCAAAGTCTGGGAAGGCTATGGGACTACAGGAAGGATCCAGAGTTCTTGGCAGGAGGCATCTCAAGGAAGGCCCCAGAAGGTCTTCAAAGAACACAGACCCTGGAAACTTCCAGAAGGCCAGGCAAGACATGGGGGAGCAGGGGTGGAAGGGTGTGGTGGAAAATGTCCCAGACGGTCTAAGCCAAAGCCAAGGCCACAGGGAAGGTCAGTAAACTGAGCAAACACAACTGGGAAGGTTCCAGAATATGGAGCAAGATATGGTTGCCATGGGGAAACTTCCAGAAGATCTGGGCAGAAAAAGGAGACGAAATATTATAGATGCTCTGGACAAGAGGATGGAAGGGGTAGGGGGGAGTGGGTCAGGGGCTTGCGGAGGGGGGTCGGTCCCCGAAATTCTGGGCAGAACACGGGGAGTGTCGAATGTTCTACAATGTTAAGCAGGTCAAGGGTGGTGGGGGGCTAGAGCCCTAGACTTGGCCTCAGATCAGTGTCAACAGATCCGGGCATTTGACCCTGCTCCCCAGAACAAGGCTGCAGAATCCCGCTGACACAACTCTGCCAGCCGATCCCCAGAGCACTCCCACCCATTGGGTCCCTGGGCTTCCCCAGTCCATCTAGCAGCCCCACCCCTGGCTACAGGAACCTTCACCCAACACATAGCAATGCATCCCCATTCTGTTCTCTGCTGTTTCTGTTTTAGACCCTTTGTTTTGGGTTGAATTTGCTGTCACTTTCCTGGTTTTTTGAGTTGAAAAATGAGATCCCTGGTCTGTAGCGTTTCTGCATGCTTGTCTACCTCCTTGTTCTTATCCTGTCAGGTCTGGTTTTGTTCTGTAATACTTTTCTTATCATGTTTCCCAAATAGTTTCTATTTTCTACTGGGAATGATGAGGGTGGGAAGTAGGGAGGGCACTGATATCTGGAATTGTGTTCTTAATTTGCAAACAGGAGAAACGACACTTTTCTTGCTTAATACAGTTAGGAAAGGTATTCCGAGTTTCAAAATCCCTTCTGGATGCAAAATCTCCATCCTCCTTTCGCTCTCGCACATGTTTTCACCTTGAAAGGTTCACACTAGCTGATACGAACGGAGCCCTTTGCACATCTCAATTCTCTTACTTCTACTTCGGGCTGTAGTTGTCATGTGTTTTGTTTCTAAACGGGGTGAGGAGTCCGTGTGTCTTGTAGTGGTGCTCTCAGGTGGCCTTGACCTGCAGCAGCTTGAAGCAGGGCTTCAGTTACCGGCCAGAGACTGAGGACGGACCGCGCGGTGAGCACACGGAAGCTGAGCCACTAGGCCAGTGGCAGACAGAGGCTCGATCTGGAGTCTAGATCTAGAGCAAGCTCTGGCTACAGTCCGCGCCCTGGGGACCACTGCACCTACTCCGCTTGGTTGCCACCTGCCCTCTGAGGGCAACAAGGATCTCTTCCAATGGGGGCTTGCAGTCCCACGGGGGGCACTTCAGAGACTCTACTGACACGCTGGCAGCCAGGGCAGTAATGTGGCCGGGGCCCTGTCTCTCTGGTCTGGCTGATCCAGCTGAGGAGCAGAGAACCCAGAAGACAGGGTCACTGGCAGGGAGTGGGAGGGTGGCCTGCAAGCCCCTTCTCAGTCAGAAAAGTGAGAGATCCCAAGCACAGCCCCCACCCCCCATGGAGTGTGTTCTCAAGGCCCACATCCTTCTTTCCTCCAGAAACATGAGTCCAAGGGTGGGAAAGTCGACGACAGGGGCGTGGTCGTGGGCTCCCCACTCTCCCAGGGACCCAGCAGGCACCCAGCTAGAGCCCTCCCTGGGCTTGGGGGATCCATAGTTTGGGGGTCACGAGTCGTCTCACCGTCCCCTGCCAGCTTTCCCAGAAGGTGCATGTTGGTGTCACCATTCCCATTTTCAAGGAGCAGATGAATGCCCTGGGCTTTGGTCACCTCCCAGAGCTTCCCCCTTCCCCCTGTCATCAGAGGGGCCTTTCAAATTCACAATTCTTCGCAAAGTGCAGAACACTATGTGGGCAGCTTAACGGATTTTCACCAAATGCACATAAGCCCCTATCAGAATCCATCTCAGGAAACAGAACTGGGTGGAGAGCCCCAAATTCCTCCCCACATCCCTCTATTCAGGCAGTAGAAGCAGACCGGGGCAACTATAAAAAGAAAGGGGCTGGGTTCCTGAGCCTGTATATGAGCTGTCTGCTTTTGAATCACTAACAACGAAATCCTGCTTTGTGAGCTCTCGTTGCTACCTTCTCTTCTCTACTGGCGTTTGTGCAATGAGTCCCCATCTTTGTGTATGGTTGCATGTCTGTTCCTTACTTTCACAGTTGTATGCTCTGATGAAGACAGTTTATTGTTGGACATTATTGGTGGACATTAAGGCTGGTTCTGGTTGTAATCTACCCCCAAATAGTGCTACAGTGAATATGCTTTTCCTTGTCTTGAGGTGGGGCCATGCGAGCATTTCAGGAGCTGAGTGCCCAGGAGTGGTAATTTTGGGGCTCTGACATGCTTAAGTACCACTTTGGCAAAGGCTATGGAAGACATTTCCACTGAGTGTACCTATTTGTACTCCTCAGGAGCCCACACACTTCAAAATCTCACCAACACGTGGTGTGGTCATCTTTGAATGCTTAATCATCCCTCTTGGGGTGTTTATATTGCAGTTTCAAGCTGCATTTGCACCTACAGAAATTGTGTTCAGCCACTTATATTTAGTACCCTCATAAATTTCTTATCTGGTAAACTGCCTTTATGCCTTTCTCTCAAATTTCTATTGGACGATCTGCTATTTTGGTTACCAGTTGGTAGGAAGAAGTTCATTCTATATTCTGAATACCAGTGTTAACAAGATAAGTGTTTACACGCTTTCTCCTGGGTTTGCACTGTCTTGTCAATAGAACAGCAGAGGTTGTGAGTTTTTACATAATGTCATGTGTCACTTTTTCTTATGTGACCAGCAATTTTTTTTCAATTTTGTATGTTCTTAATTTTCCAGCGGACACCAGGATAGCTTTGTACATTTTCCTTTTCCCTTTCTGAGGATTCATTGAGATCCACAAATGTCCTGAACTGCTTCTTTTTTGTGGTACCTGTGTATAATATCTCGTCTATCCACCACTCGTCAAAGCACACAAGAGCGTTTCCCCGTGCCAAGGCAGGGGTAGCCTCATCAGAAAGCCTGTAACTGCATATTTGTGCTTTCTGCCTTTGCTTTCTCCTCTATTGGTCCGTTTTTCAACCCTAAGCCCACACCATACTCTCTCAATAAGTGAGAAGATATAAATGATCTTGGCAGCTGGGAGTTCAAGTCCTCCAGCATTTTTCTTCTCCCAGTATATTGCCTTGGCTACTCCTGCTGCTAAGTCACTTCAGTCGTGTCCGACTCTGTGTGACCCCATAGACGTCAGCCCACCAGGCTCCCCCGTCTCTGGGATTCTCCAGGCAAGAACACTGGAGTGGCTACTCCTAGCCCTTTCCATTTCTGAAACATTTGAATATTTGGAATCAATTTCATGCACATGCACAGACAGACAGACAGACACACACACACACAGAGCACCTGTTGACCGAAACTTCATTGAATTTGTAGATTTATCTTCACTCTTCTGGGACTGGGTTATCTTTCTATTGTTAATCTTTCAAAAAGGAGTCTTATTATTTCAGCCTACACTCTCATTGTGAGTCAGCTTTGGTTCCCAGTGTTCTTCAGGTTTTAGTCCATTTCATCAGGAATGTGACATTTATCACAGGAAGCCTACTCATCGCAGCCACTCATTTTCTTTATAAGGTCGGTGACGGCTGATTTATGCTTCCCTTTCCGTTTCTGATATTGCGAATGAGAATTTACTTTTCTTCTTTGTGATCTCATCTTCTATTTTGCCGATACTTTGAATGCCTCCAGATAACCAACTTTGGCTTTCTGGGTTTACCTCCTGTTCACTTCTCCTCTCCTCTTTGTATTTCCTTCGTCATGTCTTTGGGTAGGTAAGCTATTCTCATCTAACTTCCTGAATGGAGGCTGAGGAAATTTTCACCCTGTTCTTCTGCTAGATGCCTGTAACGTGATATATTTTCACTAAGCACCTTTTCCGCTCCTTTCCCTGCACTTCTAACTTGTGCTAACCTCACATTCCTTTAGTCCTTACTGTTACCCAGTTTCTGCTGGGGCCTCTCTTCTGTGAAACTGGTTTAGGACTAGTTGCTAAGAATTTGGGGATTTGCTGGTTCTCTCTCGAGTAGTGATTCTCCCTCCGTTTCACTGAAACAGAGAAGGAACGCTAGTACTGTCAGTCATGACAGACTTGTGATGCCGGGTATGTCACGGCATGAACCTGCCCCGCCACCCCTGCTCCTGCCCAGACCTTCTGAACCATGTCCCCGCTGCATGTCCCCTAACACTTTCGGGCGTCGCCCTCCGCCAGGCAGCCTGATGAGGCTGCCCCTAGGGGCGCTCCCACCCGCGAGCGCGGCGAAACCTTCTGGAAGCCGCGCAAAGCCTGATGGGAGAGGCCACTCAGTGCTTCCGGGTGGAGTGTGGGCGCCGAGCCTGAGCGGCCTCTCCTCACTCACCTGCAGCTTCTTGTGGGAGCCCCTCTGGAGTTCGTGTCCTGGAAGTTTCCAGAAGGTTTAGACAAGACAAGGTTGGGGGCGATGTGGTGGCGGGGCAGAGGAAGAGGAAATCCAAAGTCTGGCTGGGACACGGGGGCGGGGAAGTTTCTGCAGTTCTTGGCAGGAAGCGAGTATTCAGGAAGATTCCGGAAGGTCTTCGCAGAATAGGGGGGCTGAAGAAGGCTCCAGAAGGTCCTCCAGGACATGGGGTCTCGGGTAAGGTTAGGGAGGCCTGGGACGGACATGGCGCACGGAGACGTTTCTAGAAGGTCTGGGCACGACCCTGAAGGGTTGGAGGGGAGAGAGACGTGGAAGGTTCCCGAAGGTCTTCACAGAACACAGGGCTGGGGAAGGTTCCAAAAGCCTGGGCACAACTTGGGGGCATTTTAGAAAACCTGGGCAGGAGATGGCAGGCGGGGAACAGATGGGAGGTGGCTAGAAGGTTCCGAAAGTTCTAGGGAGGATGGAGGGTGGTGGACCCAGCGCTTCAGGCTTGTTGTAAGTCTCAGGTCAGTGTCTGCAGATTCTGTGGTTTGGCCCCTCCCTCGTAAAGCCAGGATGGCAGATTCAACTGCGACCATCCATCCGTTCTGACAACACGCATCCCTCTACTGGGGTCCCATTGCTTCCCCTACCTACCTGGCAGCCCTTCCTGTGGGTGTCCTTTCCACCACCACCTGGGCCATCCATCATCACCTTCTGGAGATGGGTGACTCGGGAACCCACACAGCATCTTCACCACTGAAAGCCACGTCCCACCAGGACCCCACCCAGCATCTCCAACCTTGAGTCCCGAGGCTCCCCAACTCATATACACGTCACCTGCAGATTCCACGTTGATTTAAATCACACGTGTAGGAGGTTCAGGTATTTCTGCTAAAAGCAATTCAGAGGTCTGACAATTCTGTTATCTTTCTGTTAGTCAACACCATCAGTGGGCAACCAGCACAGAGATTTAACCAGGTCATCACTTTCTTCGCCAAGCTAGTGGTACCAAAAGAGAAGGAAAATGTCGTTATGGAATGCCGCTGAGCTTTGCCTTTTACAGCTTTTTGTAACGTCTGGAGCTAAAATGGGGAAGGAGTGGTGTCACAATAATCCAGGATCCAGAGTAATCCCCAGATCTTTTTTCCAGAGACTCTTTTTTTTTAAGTTATTTTATTTTATTTTTTATTTTTATTAGTTAGAGGCTAATTACTTTACAGTATTGTAGTGGTTTTTGCCATACATTGACATGAATCAGCCATGGATTTACATGTGTTCCCCATCCTGAACCCCCCTCCCACCTCCTTCTGCTTCCCATCCCTCTGGGTCATCCCAGTGCACCAGCCCTAAGCACTTGTCTCATGCAGCCAACCTGGACTGGTGATCTGTTTCACACTTGATAATATACATGTTTTGATGCTGTTTTCTCAGATCATTACACTCTCACCTTCTCCCATAGAGTCCAAAAGTCCGTTCTATACATCTGTGTCTCTTTCTCTGTCTTGCATATAGGGTTATCGTTACCATCTTTCTAAATTCAATATATATGCATTAGTATACTGTATTGGTGTTTATCTTTCTGGCTTACTTCACTCTGTATAATGGGCTCCAGTTTCATCCATCTCATTACAACTGATTCAAATGTATTCTTTTTAATGGCTAAGTAGTATTCCATTGTGTATATGTAGCACAGCTTTCTTATCCATTTGTCTGCTGATGGGCATCTAGGTTGCTTCCATGTCCTGACAATTATAAACAGTGCTGCGATGAACATTAGGGTACACGTGTCTCTTTCAGTTCTGGTTTCCTTGGTGTGTATACCCAGGAGTGGGATTGCTGGGTCAGATGGCAGTTCTATTTCCAGTTTTTTAAGGAATCTCCAGAGACTCTTTCAGATGATTTCTTTCCAGTTGGCACCAAATAAGGTTCCTTATTACACTTTCCTTGGAGGGAACTCATCCACATGGTGTTATCAATGTAGCTACTCACTAAATCATATCATTATCATTCTTGAGATCCACCACACTCGATTTTTCACATATGCTGGAAAATTCAAACACCTCTGTGGGAGAACTCAATGTGTGATGAGTCCCATTTCCAAAGAATACAACTTTTGCCTGAATTCGGAGTAGGTTTTAGCCAAGTTGGCCTCATAGACCAAGTCTCCCATGAGCTGTTTTTCTTCTTGGACAGTCTTTGCCATATCAGGGACAAGTGAAGCAATGCGAAAGGCCACCTGTTTTAATTCCCATTCATTTAATGATGTTCTTATTCCTTTTTCTACCCCCATAGGAGTTACTGCAGCTTGTAAGACTGTGAATGTTAAAATATTCTAAATATCACTACCAGCCCATTTAACCTATATGCTGCAGAGGCCTTAGATTTCTACACCCAGGGTTAGGCAGTCAAATTCTGGACCTTCAGGTTTTAACTGAGGAGGTGAATTAAGACTCTTGTTCAAATAGTTGCTGCACTAAGCCATGATTCTCATAATGGGTTAAATCTGGGCTAAAAAAAATGTAGAACACATTTAAAATTTAAAAAAATTTGGCCATGCCACCTGGCTGGCTGCATGTTAGTTACCTGATGAAGAATTCAATGTGGGCCCGTGGCAGTGAAAGCATGGAGTCCTAACGACTGTACCAACAGGGAATTCCCTGTAGAGCACATTTTTAACCCCTTGCATTTTATATAAATTATCTGAGGCAGTAATGTTGAAATAGTTTACAGTGAGTGCAAGGAGTGTGTGTGTGTGTGTGTGTGTGTGTGTTCGGTTGTGTGCAACTCTGTTCAGTATAAGCAAGTGAAAGTGTTAATTGTTCAGTCATTGCTCTTTGTGACTCCATGGACTGCAGCCTGCCAGGCTCCTCTGTCCATGGAATTTTTCAGGCAGGAATACTGGAGTATGTTGTCATTTCCTCCTCCAGGGGATCTTCCCAAGCCAGGGTGGAACCTGCGTCTCTTGTGTCTCCTGCATTGGCAGGCAGTTCTTTACCACTGCGTCAGTCGGGAAGCCCACCACCTTGTCCACCTTAACATTTTACTAGTTCTCCCACATATCTATCCATCTGTCTAACAATGCTTTAATTCACTTTATCTTTTGGATTCCTTTCAAAGTTAACTACAGACATCAGCATTCTTTCCCCTACAAACTGTAGCAGTTTTGGTCATGTGATTCATGTTTTATACATCTTATCTAAAAATTCAACATCCAACATCTGTTGGATCATCAAAAAAGCAAGAGAGTTCCAGAAAAAATATCTACTTCTGCTTAACTGACTATGCCAAAACCTTTGACTGTGTGGACCACGACAAACTCTGGAAAATTCTTAAAGATGTAGGAATACCTGACCTGCCTCTTGAGAAATCTGTATGCAGGTCAAGAAGCAACAGTTAGAACCAGACATGGAACAACAGACTGGTTCCAAATTGGGAAAGGATTACATCAAGGCTGTATATTGTCACCCTGCTTATTTAACTTATATGCACAGTACGTCATGTGAAATGCCGGGCTGGATGAAGCATAAGCTGGAATCAATATTTCCGGGAGAAATATCAATAACCTCAGATACCCAGATGACACCAGCCTTATGGCAGAAAGTGAAAAAGGACTAAAGAGCCTCTTGATGAAAGTGAAAGAGGAGAGTGAAAAAGTTAGCTTAAAACTCAACAGTCAGAAAACTATAATCATGGCATATGGTCCCATCACTTCATGGCAAATAGATGGGAAAACAGTAGAAACAGTGACAGACTTTCTTTTTTTTGGGGGGGGGGGCTCCAAAGTCACTGCAGGTGGTGACTGCAGCCATGGAATTAAAAGACACTTGCTCCTTGGAAGAAAAGTTATGACCAACCTAGACAGCATATTAAAAAGCAGAGACATTAATTTACCAACAAAAGTCTATCTAGTCAAAGCTATGGTTTTTCCAGTAGTCATGTAGGGATGTGAGAGTTGGACTATAAAGAAAACTGGATGCTGAAGAATCGATGCTTTTGAACTGTGGTGTTGGAGAAGACTCTTGAGAGTCCCTTGGACTGCAAGGTGATCCAACCAGTCCATCCTAAAGGAAATCAGTCCTGAATATTCATTGGAAGGACTGATGCTGAAGCTCCAATACTTTGGCCACCTGATGCGAAGAACTGACTCATTTGAAAAGACCCTGATGCTGGGAAATACTGAAGATGGGAGGAGAAGGGGATGACAAAGGATGAGCTGGTTGGATGGCATCACCGACTCAATGGACATGAGTTTGAGTAAACTCCGGGAGGTGGTGATCGACAGGGAGGCCTGACATGCAGTCCATGGAGCCGCAATCCATGGAGCCACAAAGAGTTGGACACAACCGAGGAACTGAACTGAACTGAAAAATTCTTCGACTAACCTAAGGTTGAAAACAGTGTTCCTGTTTTTCTCTAACAGTCGTCTAGCTTTGTATTTAGATAAGTTTTATAACTTATATCTATAATCTGTTGAAATGGATTTTTGTGTACGATGAGGTAAAGGGAAAGTCAGGGCTTCCCTTGTGGCTCATATGGTAAAGAATCTCCCTGGAATGCAGGAGGTCCGGGTTCAATCCCTGAGTCAGGAAGACCCCTGGAGAAGGAAATGACTACCCACTATAGTATTCTTGCCTGGAGAATTTCATGGAGAAGCCTGGAAGGCTACAGTCCATGGGGATCACAAAGAGTCGGACACAACTGAGTGACTAACACTTTCATTTTTCACTTTTCAAAGGGAAAGTCATGTTTATGTTTTTGTTCTTTTTTGCATTTGGGGGCATCATTTTTGCATATGTTTGTTCAAAGGTCTCAGCATTATTTGTCACAGAAGAGGCCATTTCTTCATTGCATTTTTTTGCTTGTCACCTTTGTCTAAAATCAGTCAGTCACACATGGGTAGGTCTACTTCTTGACTCTTTATTCTATTCTATTGAGTGTATGTCTAAGCTTGCTGCAGCATCACACTGTCTTTGGTTACCATAGCTTTCTAGTAAGTCTCAAAATCAAGTAGTATAAGTCCTTGGCTCTTTTATTTCCAAATTATTTTGGCTATTCTAGGTCTTTCACTTTTCTACCTAAATTTTAGAATCCCAGTTGATTATTTCTACATTGAAAATATATCTCCGGGAAATTTGCCTGAGATTGTGCTAAATCTACAGATCAATTTAGGGAGAACTGACATCTTAGCAATAGTAAGTCTTCTGATCTGGGAACACAGCATATCATTCCACTTTTTTAGGGCTTGCTACTCTTCAGATTTGTGTTTACCTGGTGACATTGCAAGCTCAGCTTTCTGGTTTTCTCTTTTTGCTGTCATTGTGTTTGTGGTTGTTAGAGTTAATACAGGTTCTCATTTGGCTTTCTACTTCCTAACCAGACAAACCAAAAAAGAATCAAGCAACAATAAATTCTGAAAGGTATGGTGAGGGCCTCCCCCACCTTCAAGGATGTGCTGTGGACCCAGTCACCAAAACTGTAGTTCTGGTGTGTGAATGGACAGACAAAGGAACTGAAGACAACCCACAAAGAGAACCAGGTGCATCTGGAATCCAATACATGATGAAAGGGCTTCCAAATTGACAGTAGATGAGGTGGACATTATGATTAATGATGTTAAGATAATTTAAGTCATCGTCTGAAAAAACATAACACTGAAGGGTAAGTCCCAAATGGATCGAAGATTCAAATGTTAAAAGAGAAAGAAAAAAAAAAGTCTGGTAAAGCTATCAGAAGAAAATATGAGAGAATTAATTTATAACCTTGTTTGAGGGAAGGTTTCTCCCATCCAAATGCTGACCAGGCCTAACCCTGCCTAGTTTCTGAGATCAGATGTGTGGGGGAAGGTTTCTCTAACTAGCAGAACTATGGCTCTGAATTTTGAAACTTCTCTGGTTTCAAAATCCAGAACCATAAAATAAAAGGTGGTGGTAAAGCTCCTCTCCTGACTCACTCCAGCCAGGCTCCTCTGGGCCCTTTATCCACTAGGCGTCAAACTTGGTCTGTAAAGACTAGAGCAGACACTAAGTGCCTTCTAACAACTGAAGGTCACATCCCTAGATGATCCAAGTCTCCCCCCTGCCCCAAACCCTGGCCTTAAACCCCTTCCTGTGTTCTGTGAAGATGGGCCCCTTTCTCAGCCTCTGTGGAGGGTGGGTGCTTAACTTTGGTACATGTCAGTTAGCAAACCAAGATGGATTTCACAGGGACCAACCCTGCCTTCCTGCTTTTGTAACTTTCACTTCCCTAACTCCACTGAGCCCTGCTCACCACCTCCGTACTCCCTCACTCTTCCTTTAAGATGCCCAGTCACCCCTGTGCAAGTTCAAGTGGAGTTCCCTTCGTGAAGACTCTTTTTCCCACTGAAATAGAATGCTCCTGATTTAAAACCCATCCTTATCACTTTAGGGTCTGGCTCTATTTAACCATGAAAAGCTTGGCATAACCACTTCTGCTTGGCATTAATACCAAGATCTATATCAAATAGGAAAAACAGTTTTACTTTTTATGGCAGACAATGGACTAGGGTCACAGTGTATTTGGATAACAGACTTGAATAGAAAGCACAGAAAAAGGAATGCAGACATCTATCTGAATGCAAAAACTGTATGTCACTCATAATTAATTCTGATCGTTAATTATCAGGATACTATTTTTAACCTACCACATTGGTGAAAACCCAAAGGATGAATAGGAATGTACCCTTTTTTGATGATACTATGGGAACAGGCACTCGTGGAGAAAACTGATGAACTGTTGGGCAAGTGCATCTACATTGCAAATACATCAAACTTTTGACTGTCAGTCTTATTTCTGGGAAACTCTCCAGTGTACCTGCACTTGTAAGAAATAACACTATGGACAATTGCAGCTTTATTTCTAGTACAATACACTGTAAACAACACAAAGGCTCATCGAAAGAGGCTCTGAAAATGGACTGTCCTACATCCAGGCAATGGCATGTGAAAAACCAGAATTCCTGCAAAGGTGTTGACTGCGCTAACAGAGGCTTGTTGCCCCCTACCTGCCAGATAGCAGGGCGAAGGAGGGGTGTGGAACCTGGGGCAGGAGCGGGGATGGGGAGCCCAGAAGGCTGCGGGGTATGAGTGCGTAAGGGCATAAGGCTGGCAGGCCTTGTGAGGGAGAGGGCTAGCCTCAGCACCCATCTGGGCAGTAAGGCTGGGCTAGGCGGTGCAGGGGTAGCCAAGCCTTCCTGTACCCTGGGGTCAGGCTGTACCAGTGAAGACCTGGCAATGGATGGAGAGGAAGATGAAGAGGGAGGAGGAAGGGCGGTGACGCTGGGTGGGAGAGTACCCTATGGTGTCTCCTAAGAGAACAGGAGTTCAAATCAGGGGTTGGGGAAACCCGGTACTGCCTTGGGGGAACTGCAGCAGGAACACTTGCTGAGCAAGTTTGCTGGGGCATGGGTGAATGAATGCAGAGTTCCAGGGAGTGGTGGGGTCCCTGGGGACAGAGGGGACTTGGTGGTGGTGGTGACAGCCCCACCCCCAGCATCAAGAGACCATACCCAGCCCCTGGCCCATGGATGAGGAGGGGAGGGTCTGCCCCAGTGACCAGAGGGGAGGGCTCTGAATGGTGCTAGACCAACAGGGGTCAACTGGAGCCACAGGTCTGACCAAGTGGTCCTGCTTGTTCCTCATGTCCAGGCATCGCTGGAAATGATAACCCTCCTTGCTTTTCTTCTGGTCTTGGGCCTGCCACGGGTGGAGAGCAATGTCACCGTGCCGGCAAATCAAGGTCAGTTCTGGCCCTGAGCCCCCTGGGCTGGGAGGAGAAGGAGGAGGTCTGGAATGCCTGTACAGACACAGGGTGGCCATCCGTGTCTGGATGCTGCCCTGGCACCAGGTGGGTCCAGGCAGTTGTAGCCCAGAGGATTCAGTGGGCAAGACAGCATTAGAAGGATGGTCAGCTGATATGGATACGTAGTGGGGGAGCCTCTTGATGTGGGGTCCCCAAGGGCAGGCAGGGATGATTGGTTTTATTGCCCAGCACCCAGCTCTCCCTGCCATGGCCCTGCCTTCCTGGGGATGGTTGGTCTGGAGGCCAAGCCTGAACCAGCCATCTTCAAGCCTTCTGGGGACTACCTCTGAAAATGGAGAGCTGCTGGAATGTGACCAGCTTCTTCCCCAAGAACAAGTCCTGCCCTGACACAGACTCAATAGTGGGCTGCCTCGGTTCCCGGGTCAGGCAGGACACAGGGTCTCAGGCCAAGGAGCGTGGAGCCAGGCACTGGAGGCAGTGGGGTTGGCCAGGAAGGTAGGTGGAAAGGGTGCACGGGCACAGACTCCAAAGCCATGGAATTTCTTTTTCTAGAGCAGTCGAATGTGAGATGCCAGTGAGGTGTGGTGATGTGGGCATGTCCCTGAGTGGGGGTTGCGGGGAAGGGGGGTCTCGGGTGTTTCCATATGACAGTGTGAGTATGTATGTCTCCGGGGTGAGGGTCTGTGCTCATCTGTGTTCATGCTGTGGGTGTGGGGTGGGTCTGTGAGCTACATCCAGTGGGCACACAAGGGAAACCCAGAAAGGAGAGGAGGAGCTTGCAGGATGGGGCAGGCTGTGAGGCGCCAGAAAGATGGAGGGACCCAGGGCTCTGTCCTCACTCAAGGAGGAGAGGATGGCAGGTGTTGCTCTGATGGGATCTGAGAGCTGCTGCATTCTGCCTTTTCATTCCTCCTTTCAGGGTCTACCTTGAGGTGTCACGTTTGTGAGCGGGAGAACAGTGTCGAATGCCAAGCTCCAGAGAACTGTGACACGGGCTCTACCTACTGTATCTCTGCTGCCGTGAGTAAGTGTCTTGGGTCCCAGTGGGGTGCCACACACAGGCCAGTAGAATGCTTTCAGGACTTAGGGCCTGTCGAGTTTTCCTCAGTAAAGAACAACTAACATAAAGATGATCCTTTTTTAAAATTTGAAGAGCAAAGTCCTGTGAAGCCAGGAGTGACAGCAGGCCACTGAGGAGACCCAGCTTACATAAGTAATAGCAGAGCCGATGTAGGGCAGCACGCATCAACCGCCAGTGAGACTGAAATGCTGGGGTGTAGGGAGAGAGTAAGGGGGAGTTCTCTTCATTCACTTCTAAGTGAGCAGTTGAGTCTTAATGACTTCAATGTCTGACCAAGAATAGCTCTGACAAAAGATGCACATGATCATGGCTTAAAGTATGTCCTGAAAGAGGATGCATGCTCTAAAACATTTAGAGACCGCTGCTCTGCCATCTGTAACTTCCCCAAGCACTTCTGGCCTCATGAGAACTCTCTCCCGAGGGTGACTTTGAAGGCCCTGGCATGACCCAACAGTGGCCTTGTCTGGCCTGGAGAATTCACTTTCCATTCATCAGCCACTTCTGGGGCTTCCATGTTCCAGGAAGCGTGTGGGCCACTGCAGCCTCACGTGGACTTGATAACGTAGTGTGGAAAGATGATTGCACAGTGATATATGGGAGGTGAAGTCAGAAGACGGGCCCTGCCCCCAGTGCTAAGCTGCGCCGGCAGCAGGGTCATAGTCACAGCAGTTACACCCAGGCCCCAAGAGTGGCCCCTTGAGAGGCCAGCTCCAAGTCCTGGGCAGTGGCCAGGCTGGCCAGGTGCCCCTTGCTCCAGTATGTCTCGTCTGTGGTCACAAAGGCCTGAGCAACCGTGTTTGAGAAGTTGAGGCCCAGGGAACCTATGCGTTCCCAAATGGAGATTGCCAGGCTCAAGTGCCCAGTATGTGCAGACAGGTCAGGGCTGGTGGCATCTGATGCCATGCAAAAGCACCCCCAAAAGCAGCTCTGAACACAAAGGCCTGACCCTCTTCCTTTGCAGTGATGGCTCCCAACTCCCTGTCAGGTGCCCTCTTTGAGTGGGGTTCTGGAAAGCGGAAATGGAAGGGTCAGGGTTGGGCAGACTTCAGACAGAAATGGTGTTGGCATTGCTGCTGTCAATTCATGAGACCCCCATCTCTCTGTCCTATTTTTCCCTAGGAATATTTCCACGGTACTTCCTTAATTCTAAGCAGTGTGCGGTGAACTGTGGGTTGTATGAGACACTTTCACGGATGGCCAGGTCGTTCGTGCTCATAAAGCCCACACCCTTTCTGTTCCTGGCGTGCTGTACATCCAACCTGTGCAACGTCCAGAAACCAGTCATCAAAGAAAACACAGAAGATGCCTACTTGAATCCCGGCATGGGGCGGGGCAGGGGCAGAAGCGCTGCGCCGATGCCTTTCCTGATACTGGCCTCTGCGCTCCTGGGCCTCAGGCTGCCGTGACAAAGCCAACTGGCTGCAGGTGGTTAGAACTTGTTGTATTAAATTTGTTTTCCATCAGTTAGCTCAATGGTGGTCTGATTTTCCAGGCACCTTGACATGGGGTGGGGAGAATGAGTCCATTTGGCCCTACCTCACAGGTTGAATTAGAGCAAAGCCAAACCTTCCCCATAGCAATTTTGTCTACATGTTGTTTCTCTTTGAAATCAAACCTTGTAACTGTTTATTGCTGACAATCACTCTTGACTCCTCTTCACCTTGGGGGGCCTTGGTATTGATGAAGGGCAGGGCCTGAGGCTCACCCATGAAGAGTAGTTCTCAGACACTTCTGACCTTTGGGGGGGCCCAGGGTCAGTAGGGGAGACAGAAGGATTGGGCATAAGGTATCTCTGGAGTGAAAGAAATACTGCTCAGTGTGGGGTAGTAGGACCCCCTCCCGATTACAGCCCTCTTGTGACAGGGGAGGCCCCCTTGGCTGCTCTCCTTCAGTTCTTGCTTCCAGACTCCAAGAGACAGAAGACAAGAAATTCTGTTGAATAAGCATGGATTTCACCCACCAACCGGCACAGGTGTGTGGACTCACAAATTCTTTCACGTGCATTTGTCCAGCATCTGGAACTCGGGCAGGTAGACAACAGCACTGCTGCCGACACTGCAGCCTTTTCCAGTTTCCATTTGAGATGCAGCCACGTAAAGACAGCCAGAGTTCAGAGTCGCAGTTCTGCACAAAACAAATGCTCTCTCCCCTGTGGCCTTGACTGGGTGCTAGGGTGGGTGCAGCCCCATCTGCAGCTCTCCTGCCTCCCCCTCCCTCCCACACTCTGGCCCACCCCACCTGGTCTGACTCAGAGAGACTGCTGCTTGGGGCATCCTGGGAACCTTCCAGAAAGAGTCTCAATGGCCCCAGAAGGGGATACTGTGGGGCAGGCAAGGAGCAGGGCTGTCTCTCACATCTAGACCCTCTGAACCAGAAGGGCCCCCGAGTGCTGGCCAGCAACTCCACAGCTGACAACTTCCAGTTTCTGTTAGGCTCCTGCTGTGTGCATGTCCCTTTCCAAGCATAGGCGTTGCACTCACGCTTTCCTCTCATGCCCCGTCCAGGAATAGCACTCCCAGGACTCCCCACTCTCAGCCTAGGACAGGATTTTAAGTAGGATCCCTTTTGTTAGGGTAGGCAAGAGATACAAGAGGTCAACTATTCAAAAGTTGCCATGGCAACCAGACACTGGCATCTCTTCACCAGGAGGATGGTTACACACAGTGTAAGATAACTGGGACGTCAAGACCCATGAACATGGAGAATCCCTAGGCTTAGATCTGGTGGGTCTTTGGTGATCTGATGAAGAGCACTTTCAGTGCTTAGATGATGAGAAATATCACATTATTGCAGGATGAGGAGTTCAAGTGAACTGGGGAAAATGCTGTCACCAGTGTGACAGATACGCTTTCTAGAAGTCACTATGTAAGGAAGAAGTTTTAAGAGGATAGTGTTTAGAAAAAACAGATCACGGTCAACATTGATGCCACACCAAGAATGTAAAGACTTGGGAATCTTTATCTGTGAAGAGCAGGGAGCCAGTTGAGTGAAGGACGGGTGACGGGGGCCCAGCTGGTGCAGGCAGAATGGAACAGGATCCAAAGCAGAGGCTGCGACCCCAGCAGGAGAGCAAACACTTCTGTGAGCAAGTAGAGGGATGAGCAGGAATGCACAGAAAGCTCACATGTTGGAAGGAGCCAGGAAAATGAAAGAATTCATTCCCAAACAGTCACATTTTCTCTGTGAAGCTGAAGACAGGGGTGTCTGCTGAAGAGTGAGTGCACAGATGAGGTGGGCATGATGTCAGCTTGGAACAGGCCCTGAAGGCAAGATAGAGAGAAGGTTGTGGCTGAGACTATGCAGAGACCCAGAAGAGCTTGCTGGCAAGAGGGCCCAGGAGCAGTCCTGGGATAGGAGCTGGAATGGCGGGGCCTCTAGTGGCTCAGTCATTAAAGAGCCTGCCTGCAGTGTGGGAGACCCGGATTCAATCCCTGGGTCTGGAAGATGCCCTGGAGAAGGAAATGGCAACCCACTCCACTATTCCTGCCTAGAAAATTTCAAGGACAGAGGAGACTGGTGGGCTACCGTCCATGGGTTCACAAGGAGTCAGACACAACTGAGTGACGAACACTTTCTATGAGGTCTGGGTGTTCACCAATCCAAAGTCACAAGGGCAAGAGGGAACTACATTTGGTTTCAAGAGAGCAACTGAGGAACAAACGATCTGTCAAAACTTAGCTGGACAGAGGAGGTCAAACCAAGGTGAGCAGGGCCAGGCCAGGCCTGGATGGCTACATGGAGGTAGACAGTAGAATGTTGGCCAGAGCTGACAGAAGGGCCTGAAAGGAAGAGGCTTACAGCGCCCTGGAGACCTCACAGCTTCATGCAGAGAGAGGGAGAGCTCACATGAGGGGGGAAACGTGTTACTCTATCAGTGGCGTTACTAAGGTGCCACTGTGCTCTTTAAGAGCAAGTGTGATGCAAGTGACAGAAAACCCCAAACAAGGGGGTCTCAGCAAAAGCAGAAAGTGTTTCTTTCTTGTTCGTGTAAACAAAGTGCAGTGCTCAGCAGCCCAGAGCTGAGTGTCATGGGGAAGCAAGCTCCACCTTGTGAGTGCTGCTGCAGCTCAGAGCACGTGCTTTGGGGAGGCGAAACTGGGGGGGCTGTAAAAGCTTTTTTTTTCAAAGTGACAAGATATGCATGCATGCCCAAACTGTCACCTATATGTAGGCTTTAAAAACAAAGAAAATGGAGAATCTGAGGGTCCACTTCGATAGAAAGCAACTTTCTAGAAGGCGGCTTTCTAGCCTTTCCGAAGCTTTGTGAGCTGCCAGTCCTTTGGACTGCTGGACTTGATGGGCCCCAAGAAGACATGTGGAGGAGCTAGGGAGTGCAGCCTTCAAACCTTGCCCCTCAAACACAGCCAAGGACCCGTCTCCTGAGACACACGGAGTGACTCACAAGTTCCACTCCAAAGCCTCAGTGTCTCTGAACAAGCACACCCACCTGTTGTCTGTCTCAAGCATGTGGAACACTCTTTCCAACTCACTCCTTTTATAGGCCAAGCACATAACTGATACTACAGCAAAACAAAAACAGTGCAAGAAAGGAACATTAGAGGCCAACATACTTGTGAACAAAAACCAAAAACTGACTAATTGGCTGTATTAAAATAATAACAGGTTATGACCAAGTACAATTTGCTCCAGAAATGTAAGAATGATTCAGTCTTAGAAAAAGATGCCCAACAAGGACTAAAGGATGATGATCACAGGATCATTAACATTCACTAGTTGATTTTTTTAAAATGCTGTGACCCCTAGGAACAGAAAAAGTCAATAATTTGATATAAGTTACCCACCAGAAACCTAAAACAAATACCATACTTCGTGGTGAAGCATTCAAAATGCTCTCACATAATCCAAGGATATGAGAAGCCCATGCACTGTCAAACACTGTCAGACACAGTCAGTCTCTACAGTGGGCGCTCAGGTACATCACAAAGGAAGGACTACAAAGATGCTTTTTCCCAGCAACAACCCTGTCGGCTAAAATCCCTCCTATTACAAACCACTTAAAAATGTCGCATGAGAAAAACATTCTGAATACTTTTTAACTGTACACCAAGCTAATGTGAACATTTCAGAAGAGGAAGAAAGGAAAGAAGGGGGGCGGGAGGAAAGGAAAGGAAAGAAAATAATCTTGACAATATACAGTCAGCAAGGAGTGAAGCTGGCAGCTGCCTTCAGCATATTTGCTTTTTTTCTATCACCTAGAGCCTCAGGTTGGGTAGCAGACAAGGCACTGGGTTTCCATGAGAGAGGAAGTGAAAGTAAAAAACAAATGAGCTTCAGAGACCTTCTAAATTAAATATTAAACTAGGGGAAAAGATACTCTCTGCACAAGGAAACTTGTCTATGTCAGTATTGGCTCCACATGGAGAAAAACGTATGAAGAGAAGTTTTTCTTGAGAATTAGATACTCTCATTGTCACTTGGGGCTTGTATTCCCACTACTGTTTTATTCCAATAAACCTAAGCCACAAGAAAAATGTTAAGTGGTAATGGATGAGTTTCACCCTGTGATACCTACTAAAGCAAAGGAAAATCCTCTCTGAAGGAATATTCACTCAGCTCAGAAGTCATAGAATCCCAAAGGTATTATCTCAATAAATATCTGCTAAAAATCAAAACTGACAAAAGACACAAGAAAACAAGAAACAACAAGTAAGCAGAACTGGATCACCAAAAGTTTCAAACATTGGAAATCATAGGTCTGTAATACAAAATAAATTTGCTTTTAGAAATAGAAGAGCATAGAAAACATGAGGAAAAGAATGAAAGACCATCAAAAATACTAGGCAAAAAATTAGGAAACTGCTGGAAGTGAGTGATGTAATCTTTGATTATAAAAACTCAACGGAGAAATTAAACAGCAGATCACACATAGATGAAGAGACAACAATATACTGGAATTTGAGCTGAACAAATGATTCCATTGCAACCAAGAGGTTAAAAGAGATGGGAAATACAGAGAAGAAACTAGAAGATATGAAGAATAAGAGAGAAGCTAATACAGGAAACAAGCAGAATTCCAGAAAAGAACAGAGAGAACAGAGTGCAGGTAGTGTTCAGAGAAAGAGCAATGGGTGATTTTCCAACAGTGATGAATACTCAGGTCAAGCGATCACAACAGGCCTGCTGCTCTGAGACATACTCAGAGCAAAACGTCCAGACTGCAAACCAAAAGAAAATATACATCTCGAAGGGAAAGGCAGTTATATCCTGTGCAGACTGCAGCTCAAACTGGGAGGCAGAGGACAAGGCAGTGGTAACTTCAAAGCACTGAAAGAAAATAACTAGAAAGTAACTTGGACTTGAATACTAAAAGGCTTTTTACAATGGTGAAAAATAAAATGGTTTACCACTGACTAGTAATTACTAAAGGAACTCCCCCAAAAGCATTAAGAGGAGTGAAAACAATCCCAGACAGCACGATAAAATGCAAGAAAGAATCAGTTTTTTAA